TCGATAAATGGTCTCCATTGGTCTCCAATATCTTTATTGGTCTCCGTTGGTCTCCATATAATGTTTACGAAAATTTTGTCTACAAACTACTTTAATAAAATTAAAAAATTATAAATAAAAAATTCCAATAAATGGTCTCAATTGGTCTCCAATATCTTCATTGGTCTCCATAAAAATTTTTGACAAAAAATTGTTACAACCCACTCTAATTAAAATAAAATATCCCAATAAATGGTCTCCTAGGTCTCCAAAATCTTTATTGGACAAATGGTCTCCATTGGTCTCCAAAATGGTCTCCGTTGGTCTCCATAGAAAAATTTTACAGAAAATAAACTCAATAAAAAATTAAACCCCGCTAAATAGTCTCCATATAAATTTAACAAAGTAAAATAAGACCCATTTTCTCGAAAAAATAAATTACGGCTATCGCTCGGTCAAAATAATATCCAAATATCTATATAACTTATCCGCCGCTCGGTTTTCTAAAGACTGAACGATACTATACAGTATTCATACGTTTCAACACCGGTTTTCTTCACTACGTGCAATATTGGTAAACTGAACTGGCTGGCTGGTGCCGGTGGTATTGTTGATCAGGCTTTCTCGAATATCATTGAAATACGGGGTGTGGGGGGGGGGCCGGTGAAAAAAAGGGAAAGAGAAAATTAATTTTATTTTATTCAAATGACTCATTAAGCCAGATTTGCAATGAATTTTATTTAATTGTTTTAGATGACTCATGAAGCATATCTCTTATCCGTACACTAAGTTTATATCAGTATATATTGCATTAAATTTATTTACTGTTACACTTCTATCACACATATACGGGGTGCTATGGAAACGACTCAACACGGAAACGGACCCAAAAGTGAGTTTGGGGGTCCGTTTCCTTCTTTTTTCAAGAATTATCGGAAATCCCTCAAAAACTAAAAAGTGAAGAAGGATTTCCGAATATTTTGGGTCGGTTTCCGCTATATTTACATTTGATTCGTTTCCCGTTTTTTTTGGGTCCGTTTCCGATTTTCAGAAAAAGTTGTAAATTCTCAGTTTTTTTTTATCGGTTTCCTCTTTTTTTGGGTCCGTTTCCTCTTTTTTTGGGTCCGTTTCCTCTTTTTTTTTGGGTTCGTTTCCGATTTTCAGAAAAAGTTGTAAATTCTCAGTTTGTTAAGATCGGTTTCCTCTTTTTTTGGGTCCGTTTCCTCTTTTTTTGGGTCCGTTTCCGGTTTTCAAAAAAAGTTTCAAATTCTCAGTTTGTTGATCGGTTTCCTCTTTTTTTGGGTCCGTTTCCTGTTTTCAAAAAAAGTTTCAAATTCTCAGTTTGTTGATAGGTTTCCTCTTTTTTGGGCCTGTTTCCTCATTTTTTGGGTAATTTTCAGGATGTATATCAAATTATTGGTTTTAGTTGGGTTTGATTTGCATTTTCCACTCATTTCTGGCATTTCCAAACTCCACCTAGTAATGGCTTCATTTCCTAACTTTCAGCTTTCACTTTGTTTTATATTCTTCATTATAGTCATTCATTTTACATTAACTACAAAAATCTGTTAAAAAACTGAATTTATTTTAAGTAAAATAAAAAATAGTTTTACTCTAAGTGGAAAAGGATGTTACTTTTTTAAATCTTTAGAAATGCTACTCTGTAAAACTTTGAAAAAATATTGTCTTTGTTTATATTCTAATTTCCAGAGGCGCAACTAGCAATTTTTTTTAATGGGGGGCTTGCCCCCCATTTAAAAAAATGTTCAAGATAAAAGTGCTTTTTTAAGGATTTGACGTCGAAAAAAAGGAATTTATCAGTTGTTGCATGCAGATTTGGTGTTTAATTCAAAACTTTTTTTTTTCTTGTGTTTTTTAAAAATTTATACTTTCAACAACTGTAAAATTAACGATATGAGTCATTCAATTCTTTTCATGTGTGCGCTGAGCGCCAAAGAAAATTTGTTAAGTACCTTGTTTAATTGCAGATATAACTACAAGAAATAATCATTTATATATTCTGAAAAAAACACATCAAAATACATATATGATTTTAATCATCTACATTGAAAAAGGACAGATAATTTTACGTTTTCTCCTGAAGTTATTGAATTTATGATTGATCATTCTATCCAACATTTATAATCTTATTTCATTTTCGATTTTATATAAGTTATATCAAAAAACAGTTATCAAATATGATTATCAGTTAGAAGTTTGCCACGCTCAGTCTCAGAATGTTCTCTAGATTTTGCCACAAATCCAATTATTCTAATCCCTAAATCTTTGCACCCAGTGGTGTAAACCTTTGATATTTCAAACTTAGAATATTTACCAAAATAATTCCAAGTTTGAATACAGTTTGGAACTTTTTAAAAACAAATTTTAGGGGGGGAAGGTAATTACCCCCAGGATTCTAGGGTGGGGGGTAACTACCCCCAGGATTCTAAGGGGGGGTAACTACCCCCAGGATTGTAGGGGGGGGGGGGTAAATAACCCCAATAACCCCCCTTATTTAAGCCACTGCCGGGTAACTTCTTGTAATTGGATGAAATGTTCTTGAAGGATTTTCAGCATTTTTTCTTTTTTACTTTTGATACAACTTTTTATCTTAAACAAAATGTGTTCTGCATTATTTTGTTTAATCACATTGGGTTAAAAAAAAGAAAAGACCAAAATGTTAATCGGTAAAACAAAAAAAGCTCACACAACTCAAGGATGATCATTCTGAGAACAGAAAAGAAGAAAAGATGAGAAAAAAGAGCAGAAAAAATTGAAGAGTACAGAAGAAAAGGAAAGAAAAATGAGAATAGAAGAAAAGAAAGGAGCAGAAAAGAAAATAGAAGAGTAAGAAGTAAAAATAGATTATGTTTTATTGATAAAACAGACAAACAAACAGACACACACAAGTAAAAAAAGATCTCACAAATGTTTCTATTAAATGAATAATAAAAACCTGTCAAATTTTTATTTATTAAACATTACTTTTGACATAAAGTATACCACACGATATCAAATCTAAACACAAAGCAAATAAAAATAATTTATACAGATGCAAATTTTATTTTTTATCATTATATACACAAGGAAATTTAACAGGTCCAGATTTTCGAGCTTTATAATTCCACAGAACAGAATTCTGATTTTAAACCTTTACTGTTTCACTGGTGTTCTAGTTGAGATATGGATCAATGTACTGGATTAAAGGGAGCGACCGGATATGTAAGATAGTCAAACTGAGTATGCATTGTTGTGGAAATCTTCTTTCAGATTCATTTTTTTTTGTATCCTGTTCCTAATCAATTAATTAGCTGATTGTAGATATTTTTACATTTTATGTCGTTGTTAGTTAATAAAGGCCTATTTATGAAGTACAAACGCAGTACGATTCAATTAGGTCTACAAGCTAAAAATGTAAACAAAGCAGAGAAAAATCATAACAACAGATAGTACTGCAAAGTGTTTAATCTCAAAACCAGTTAAATGTTGACAACAAAGAGAAAGCAAAGAGGAGATGATAAAAGAATTGCCCCCAAAAAACGGGAAATTCCTCTAAAAATTGGATTTGAGGGATTTCCGATAATTTTTGAAAAAACAGGAAACGCCTCAAAAAATTCATTTTGGGGAGGTTTCCGGTTTTTTGGGTCCGATTCCGTGTTGAGGCGTTTCCATAGCACCCTTGCTATCACACATATACGGTGATACACGGTATGACACATACGGTGATACACCGTATGACACATACGGTGATACATACACCCTATGACACATACTCTGATACACCGCGGACTGAAATGAATAGTGAATCACTAATTAGAGATAATATTAATGTTCTATAGATTTATTTATTTAAACCCCCCCCCGTTCGGACCAACTAATTTTTGGTAAAAAATTATTATTTTGAGATATTTTTAACCTGTAGATTTAAATATAGCAATGGGCAATTGCTAGCAATTCGTTTTACAGAAACTATTAATACTTTGGACTTTTAAAAGATTTACGATTTGAAATTGTGTGCAAAAGTTTACTATTGTCAAACATGCAAATTTGTTATCCTAAGTGAAAACATAATGCAAAAACTTACTAAACACGATCGTTTAAAAAACCCAAAGACTATCGTTTTTGCCTTAAATTTTCTTCGAGGGTGTACACCCTGTCACACACTCACTGACAAGTGACAACACAAAAATTGACATTTACACATTTTAAAATTTCAAAAATACTTTTTCTCCCAAGAGACGAGGCTGATTTAAGCATTAGTTTTGTTATTTGTTAAAGCATATTAAAGTATCTGCTGGAAAACTTAAGTTACAGTAAACTTTTAGGTTAGTCTCTGTGCAGAAAAAGGGGGAGGGGTTAAAATATATTTTTGACCTCCAGACCCCCCCCCCTTGGATCCGCGCCTGAGCTAAGAGCTTTATTATACAGATATAATTTTATATATATATATATATGTTAAATATAATATAATGTATTTGTTTCTTTTATTTCTGTGATATATTTTAACAACTTTATCATAAGCTTAGGACTGAATTATAGTTTATGCATAGTATATTTCCCTAAAATAAGGACATTAAGCAGATTCATTTGTACTTTTCTTCCCGCATTATATATTGTTAAGTCTCTACAATAATGTCAAGATACAATGTCATGTCTTCAAATCCTTCCACAAGGAATTCCATCTTATGGTTAAATGATAATAAGAACCTGCCAGTAAAGAAGGAATTATGTTCAGGGTTTGCCAATAAACATGAAACCTATAGATATAACGACATGGTGAATTAATTTATATTCTATATAATTAATTTATATTCTATTACATTTAATGCTAATGATGTCAACGGAAAGATAATATGACGTAAGAAAAGTTTTTAAAATAAAAAGAAATTGAAAAATCCGAAATTCAATAATGTCTGATAAAAAAGGTTTACATTTTTGGTTGTTTAACTTTGGTTGTACTAGAAAGAAACTATAACAATAATGAATAATGTTATTTAAATATGAAATTATATATCGGCAAACATGAAACAAATTAAATAAGCAAGAAATTAAAGACCCGAGGTCACTAACACGTTTATAAAGCTTTACTGTCTTGCGAGGAACGTTTTAAGCCCTATAATGTAGTGCACGATATACATGTAAATATATATAATATACTGTATAGTTTATATCTAGAATCGCACTCCATGTATACGTTAAAGGGACTGTAAAGGAAAAATGAAAGGGGGGTATAGGCTGAAAGCTAATCACTTTAGCTCTTGATCGAGAACCATGAAAATTATATATGATGTTCCTGTCTCGAGGAATTGATATAAAACTGTGTCAAATTTATACGAAAATTAATATATATACAATTTTGTATAAAAGTAGTGGGTTTAAACTGATCATATTCAGCAAATATGCAACCAATCTCAAAACGAAGATATCCCAGACCCAGAGAAAGCTAATTGTAATTTTATAATTTTATTTTTACTTTTAGTAGATTTAATTCAAAATATTATTTATACGCATTTATCAAAGAGAACAGAATATATATTAGAGTGGAATTTACTAGATAAGGTGTAAACCGGCCATTTTGTTGTACTGTTTCTATACTTCACATATTTGTGCTAAATAACCTTTTGGGCCCTGGAACATCATTTTATAGAAAATCTAAAATTAATATTTAAAGAAAACCAAATTATGAAATAGGCTGGTTTCATAATAGACCAATGATCAATTCAAATAGACTGTATGCCTTTCACTTTACAAACGATGATTTTCCGTTCTAGCTTTAAATCAAATGATGTTTTTTATTCAGCTAATTCATTTATTTAACAGCTTTAAAAAATTCGAAATTGAATTGGATAGTCTAGGGAACATACTGTATTAATGTACTCTACTGCACATAATTTGTGAACATTTACATGATTTGTACAGTTTGAACTCCCTTTCAGGCTGAAAGGGACTGAAAAAAATTCATACCGAGAGATTCTTTAAATTCCCCTCTAATATATATTCTATTCTCTTTGGCATTTATACGTCAGTATTGCTTGACCAGAAATTCCACTACTGGCAGTGCAGTATAGTGGTCATGTGATACAGCAGGAGACATGTGACCAGTGTACTGCACTGCCATTGGTGGTAGTTCTGGTGACGTGATTTAAGTTTCAGATTTTCAAAATTTTACACATATGAATTTAGTATAAATCTGATATAGTTTTATATCAATTTCTAGAAACAGGAACATCAGATGTAATTTTCATATGGGTCGCGATCAAGAGCTAAAGTGATTAGCTTTCAGCTTATACCCCCTTTCATTTTTCCTTTACAGTCCATTTAAAAAAGAAAAATTCGATTTATAAATCAGTAATCCCATGTTAAATGGAACTCCCTGGAAAAATCCTTTGAGGATTAATCTAACTGGTGATCCTATTTGAGGAATAGGATCATACCTCATGATACGATCGAAAGTATAAAACTCGGGATTTGAATCTCTTCAAACCAATACAGATTCTTCATTCATCAAGAGCAGGTCTACTTACACCGTACACGGCTAAATATACAGTAGACCCATTAAACTATGAAATAAGAAGACGACATTTCATCAATCTATATAAAGCAAATAGTTTTAAATCAGTACCTTAAAAATCAGCTTATCAAGTGTCTGTGTTAGGGCTGGGCACGTTCCAACTTTTTTGAAATCGTTCCGTTCCGTTCTAGAACAAGGGTCTTCAGCTAAATCGTTCCGTTCCTGTTCCTCTTTTTTATCGGGATGGGGTTTAAAGTGGGGGGAGGGGAGGTGATTAATATCCCACAATTTAATTCTATGTCTCGAGTTTAACTTTCAAAGTTACAAGGTATCCCACGAAACATGACCGTTGGGGAATAGTTTTAAATGTCTACTTCCAAAATTTGTTAAGTTGTTTGATACCAAAGAGAATAATAAAAAATATTATGCGGCAGTCATATCATATTAAAATTGATTTCAAAGTAAAATATGTTTGAGTAAATTTGTTCTTGCATACTTATGAAAAATATATATTTCCGGCAATTTTTTTTGAAAGCTCATAAGACGTACGATAAAAAAACGGTTTGTTATTTTTTATCCATTACGGGAAATCGAAGACGAGTTTTTCTGGGAAACCCTGTCTCTCAAGACCTAATTTTTGCCTCAACTTTCCCTGAATTAATTAAATTGTGGCCTTTTTAAATCCTAAAGTTGGTAACACTTTCTGATTGTAACTTTATAGTTATATTCATACAAAAATGTTCCACTCAATTAAACATTTGTTTAAAAATCCGATGTAAGAAGAAGACATTCTGTTTACTCATATACAATTCATGTGAATACATTAATTCTTTGTTTTTAACCCAATTTGTACTTCTTCAAAATTTGAACAATTTGAAAACAAATTTTTAAAAATTTCAACGTACGTGTTTTTTATCAAATATAATTCCATTAATTTCTAATAACAAAAAATTCAAATCTTATATTTAGATGGTGGGTGGATTTTATTTAGCTATTGCCTGTATAATCAGTGCTACTGCAGCAGTTAAAGAGTATCCATATGAAACAGTAAGTATTCTGATATTTAGCTAGTATTCTGGTATCTAGCTAGTATTCTGGTATATAGCTAGTATTCTGGTATCTAGCTAGTATTCTGGTATCTAGCTAGTATTTTGATATATAGCTAGTATTCTGGTATATAGCTAGTATTCTGATATCTAGCTAGTATTCTGGTATATAGCTAGTATTCTGGTATATAGCTAGTATTCTGGTATATACTGGGTGTCCCACGAAACATGACAGTATGCAAGACGACTTGAATGTCGTCTTTATTTTTGATATAATTTGCTGCGTTTATTTGTCAACCTAATTTTAGAAGTAAATTACAAGAGATAATAATCACAAAATTCCCCTAGTCCTACCATTTCCAAAATGTGGTCTGCCTTTTTTGTGCTTTCAATATTGCCCGAGATATGAAGAATTTCGTTCAGATTTCGACAATTTTGCTTTTATCTAACAAAATAGAAATCTGAACCAAACTCTTTATATCTCCGGTAATATTGAAAGCACAAAAAACGCAGACCACTTTTTGGAAATGCCAGGGCTAGGAGAATTATGTGAAAATTGTTTCAAGAATCATACATGTTAAAGTAGATAGAAGAATAAATGTCAAAAATAAATTCAAATATCAAAGACGACTTTCAAATCGTCTTGCTATTGTCATGTTTCGTGGGACACCCTGTAGCTACTTTTGTTCATCCAGTTGCAATTCACACAATCTTGAATGATTAAAAACGGATAAATAAGGTCGTTTTTATACCAATAAGGCGACTGTTTAATTTAAAATATTTAAGGATGAAAGTGAAAATATGGGTTTGTATGATGCTTTGAATATGCTGACCGACCTTCAGTCCCTCATCGAGACTGAACTTGATAAGAAGAGTGGTGGATATCAGATCAAGAAGAACACTGAGGATTATGAGGATGATGAAGGTAAGATCTGCTGAATTTCATACAGATTAAAGGGACCAGAGACAGATTAAAGGGATTGGAGACAGATTAAAGGGACTGGAGACAGATTAAAGGGACTGGAGACAGAATTTCAAGTGATCCATTTAAACCCTATAAACCTGTATCTGAGCAACTCTGCATGAAGGGAGATAATGTCGTTTTTTTTATCTTGAAAATGGTACAACTCTGTCAATATCCTTCAAAGTCTCTACTGCATATGTCTTAAAGTCAAGAGAAATTTCAAAATGAAGAGCCATTTGACATTACGATGCCTGTACCTTTATTGTTTGCTCACATTGGTTCAAATTTATAGAAAGTACTTCCTTGAGAGATTTGTTGTTGTATTTTTAGAACTATTGGAAGACCAGGACCGTGCTAGACATCAATATGGAAATAGGCAGCCGATTACCATGAAGAGGGCCAGTTTAGGTAAAAAAATCAGCTCAATCAAATTTCTGAAATTATAGTTAAAGAATTATTTTATTTAAAAAAGATTCCGCTTGCTCTTGCAATCCCAGAACCTCACGAGACAACAAGGTGAAAATATTCTTTTTAAAAAGATTCCAGGTTTAAGAATAGGAATAGACAGATTTGGTCTTTTTAATAGGATTCCAGGTTTAAGAATAGGAATAGACAGATTTGGTCTTTTTAATAGGATTCCAGGTTTAAGAATAGGAATAGACAGATTTGGTCTTTTTAATAACATACAAAGAAAAAATATTCTTTTTTATGGAAATTTAATTGATTGATGAGATTTTCCCCGATGTTGCTATATTTAAAACTAGCTCAACTGCCAAACGTTAAAAACAATGAGATTTTTTTTAGTCTTTGTCACTCCCGGGGTACCCATGGGCCCCATCAAAAATGTTCAGCTATTTTGATCAAGCCATTTGACCAGCTATAGCTTAGATTTTATTATAGTTTAGATTATTAGATATTCATCAAGAAAATGGTAAAGGACACAGAATTTCCTGTGGAAACTTTGGCCAAAGGTCTATCAACCCTCATGCATTTAAATGTTCACGTCTATGATTGTTCTGCGGATTATTACTGAGATTTTATTGAGAAAATTAACGAAAAAAATAAAAAAATTTAGTTCTGTTGAATATTGGGGTTCCCTGTGCATTCTCTTTGTTTCCTAAAACACTAACTAAATCATTATTAATCAGTAATTTATTCAAATCACAGCAGAAATAAAAAAGCATACATTTTCAATATTACCAAAAAATGAGATATTTTATAAAACTTTCAGCGGGCGGGCGGCCTTCATCTTATGTTAGAAAGAAGAGATGCAGTCAAAAATTGTCGAATTGGCCTTTTCAATATATTATTTCAAAATAAAATATTTAGCCAAATATCATGAAGCTCCTTGGGAAGCAGTTTCAAGAGCGTCTTAGCAAGCTGAGGGAGAAAGAAGAGTCTCCTAGCTTCTACAATAATATGCTTTTCAGGTTAATTCATAACAATCAAACCTAATTAAAGGGACTGTAAGCGTAATTTCAAGTGACCCTCCATGCAAAGAGGCAAAAGCCAGATATCTAAACGCTTGTACGTAGTCATGCTGAAAATGCCGGTGGGCGCTGCGCCGCGCTGTATTGAGTTGAGACTGTACAGTGTACATACTACGTAACAGCACATTTTAGCTGACTGCAAGCGTGTAGGTAGCTTTACACACACATTTCTTTGTACACGACGAACACACACAGGTTTTAAGGATATCGTTGCTAATATCAAGCATTCCCCTATTTGAATGTAGGGTTACTTGAAATGACGCCAAAGTCCCTTAAAATACTTTGAAATGACGCCAAAGTCCCTTAAAATACCTTGAAATGACGCCAAAGTCCCTTAAAATACCTTGAAATGACGCCAAAGTCCCTTAAAATACCTTGAAATGACGCCAAAGTTCCTTAAAATACCTTGAAATGACGCCAAAGCCCCTTAAAATACCTTGAAACGACGCCAAAGTCCCTTAAAATACCTTGCTTTTACAAATAATAATTAAAGGAACTGTCATCGTAACTTCAAGCAACCCCCTCGGCCCTCCATATATTAAAGGCCATACCCGATACAAAACGGCACACTTTTAAATGTTATCTGATCAATAGTGTGCATTTCCTATCTTGAAAAGTGTTTAATTCTCATAATTTCCCGCAGGCTGCATTATTGTTGTTGTAAAAAATCCGCAAGACACTTTAAATAGAAGCTAATTGATAGAAAAAAATCGAATTTTCTTGATCAGAAAAGGGTACTGTTATAAATGAGATATTCTCTGTAAAACCGAAAAATATAAATTTAATGGTTGAAAATGGGTTCAAAAACTAAGACTTACTGGAATGGAATTCTAGCCAGAATCTATCATATATCGTGAGACGTAGCTAAAGTAACTGATTACTCGCCGCAAACGCTCTACATCGTTAAATTCTGATGTAGTAAACCTTAATATATTAAACTTTAAATTCTGCAATACATCAAATAGTCAATGACTTATAGCAGCAAGTTTTGGAAAATTTGCGTTTGAGGCAAATTATCAGTTTATGTTCAGAACTTTTAATTCAATTTACTGTTTCAGACCATCCTCGGCTAAAACTGAGCATTTGATCAACTCAGTCGGGAAGTGATTCAAAAACAAAAGGCAGAGCTTAGCATTTCAAAAAAAGCTTCCATTTGTTTATTATCATACATTATGCCAAGACAAGGCCTACGGTCAATATCCAGATTTTTAACTTCTATGGAAATGAGTGCACCTCTCTCTTGCAAAATCAATAAACATTTCAAATTTTTTATCAAGCATTTTATTAAAAAAAAATGGATATTTTTTTTCCAAATATAATCTGAGCTCTGAAATTTTGACAGATATGTAACCCTGCTTACTGACAAAAAATAGTTCCTTTTCTGTTTCTCCTGTTTCCAACATATTTGATACTAGCTGCACCCTCTGTTTCTCCTGTTTCCAATATATTTGATACTAGCTGCACCTGTTTGTATAGTTATAAAAACAATATAATAAGATATTATTCTGCAATCAAAAGAACAGATTCTGTTTCATTTATTTATTCTTTTCAGAAGCAAACTGAAAAAAATATGTTACAGCAAAGAAATTGAGTATTTGACACACACTCTGATGCACTAACTCTATATCTTTGAAATGTCGTCGACCTGAGATATTTCAATCTTTCTACTCTGATGGATCAAAAAATTTAAGTTTGTAGCATCGAAGATTTATATCATTAGGTTGGGAAGATGAAAGGAATTATGAAATTTGAGTTTGTAGCAAAGAATCACTTCCTGTCGGTTCATATTAAGAACTGAGCTGACATCTGGTCAGAAATACAGAGTTAACCACAAAAGATGAAACATCTTCTTCAGAGGCGTATTCAGGGGGGGGGGCATGGGGGCTAAGCCCTCCCTGGACCAGTGTAATCTATTGATTTCAAAGGGTTTTCAGGCCCCAACGGATACTGAGCCCCACTGGAAAGATAAAAAAAAATTTAAGCCCCCCCGGACAAATTCCTGAATACGCCCCTG